ACTGTTAACATTGAATTTACAATTACATCTAGCCAGATCAACTGTAAATTGTTGCTAAAAATACAACAGAAATGTTCTCCCTCAAAAATTAATATAGTTAAGGGTGATAAAGTGTAATTCTCTTTTGAAAGATAATGTTTAAACAAACTACAGACGGTGCTCACTTTACAGTGACACAACGTGATTTTTCAGTTTTATGATAGCAGTCAACATTCAGTAGTTATTGAATTGATAAATTTTATGTTTTTATGGATGAGTGATGCCATAAGATATTTCTACCAATGTTGGGATGAGGTAGCAACATCCATCCAGCTTCCAGTCTCACTAGCAATTACAAAGATTAACATCATGCTGTTTAACTTCATATCATGCAGAGAATTGTTTTGTAGATTTGGTGTGGGATGGGGGGGATCTCTGTTTTCTCCAAGGGCATAAACAACCTCAGCCAGAATGTGAATGCTTTTTGCCATTTGCCAGTGTTGTTAACCACTATGCCACCCAACATTTCCAGTGATATATATATATATATATATATATATATATATATATATATATATATATATATATACTTAATATGCATACAATGTAGAACATTTATAGAATAAGAAGAAAAAAAATTTCTGAAAAAATTCTACTCAAAACCAGATTGTTTTTTTTTGGGGGGGGTGCAAAAATGCTAATGTTTGTTGAATTAAATTCTCAGCTTTTATCCTTTTATTTCATACAATCTACCTTTTTGTGATCACCTTCATGTTGTTGTTAAATCACCTTTTTAGTTTGTTCATTAAGATTTGCACTTTTATTTTTCAGGAAGATCATTCATCTGTTGTTTTTTTTTTCTTTTTGTTTATGAGTTTGACATGCAGAATTTGGTACTTCCTTAAGTTTCAGAATAATTTTGGTTTCTTCCATTACTTTCTGTGAACAAAAGACCTTTTTTGGCTAGCTTTTCAAATTCACAACACTTCTTCAGGGTTTTGTAATGTTGGTCCAGGCTTCTTTAAGTTATATAAAATGTTTGTAAGATTAATATTAAATTTTATTAGTTTTTAAATCCGCTATCTGTTAGAAATTTGGTGCTAGAGATAGTTTCACCCAACACTGCAAATTGCTACAAAACCAAAACATTAGTCTAAAATCTTGAGTCACTTGCTTAAATAAGGTTTTTCAGATCAAGACTTTCATACAGATGTTATTCATGACCCCAAACTCATTCAGAAATATCTAAACTGTCAGCTGTATACAACCGCTTTCTCAGATCAGTGGATAAAAATGGTTTCGAGCAAAGTTAACCCATAGGTCTTAGCAAGGACCATCCTTCTTCAAACCTGGTAAATTGGCGCTACAGAATTGCAAACAAAGACCTGTACCAAATAACCAGAATTATATCACTTGAGAACTTTCAACAGCAACAACAACTAAAAGGAATAGCACATGTAACTTTAAGAGAAAATAATGATATAATCAATATATTTACATAATGCACTAAAAGGTCAGAAAGGAAACCTCCATCAATATTGGAAAGAGCAATAACAGCTTCTGGATTTGAGAAAACTTTTTTCCTGAAAAATTGTTTTAATAGAAAGATTAAAAAAATTTCAACTGACAATGACATTAGTTGCTCGATCAACAAATACCAGAAATAGCTAATATTATCAGTGTCATCATTTTATTGTAGTATTTTTCATCTTTTGACTAAGACATTAATAATATTCACAGTTTTTTTTGGGGGGGATGACAAACTTCAATCAACAATAAAGCTCACTAACTATAATTAAAGTAAATCCTTAGCAGACAGAGAAATACAATGACAACACCCTCCTCCTTGTACTCAGTAAAGTGTTAGAACTTGAACAATGATCTAACTTAATCAGAGATATCATCTGTTTTTCATTAAGGACCAGACATATTACTGAAAGCATTATCATTATCATTTTGAAGGACATTAAAACATGTCTTTTGTAATCATATTCAGTGAAACAGAAAATAATTATGGCACAAGAAAATGCCTTTGCTTATACTGAAACTAGGATTATACCCTGAAAAAGCAATACTTTGTGTCTGGTAGGATATAAAATGTATAGTCTATCATAAAGTGTTTAACTATAATAAAATGGTTATGTTATATTCCGTGCTAAGTGAATATATACTTAACACCAGGTGGATAATTTTTTTTTTTAAGCGTTTCACTCCAAGCAAGGCAAGAAGCCACTAGCACACAAGGGGTTACTGAGAATTGGAGCAAGAGCAAATAGGAGTAATAGAGGAAAGGATGAAGAGAAGGATAGATCAAGGAATCTGGAGACGTCGATTGACATTACATTTGAATAGTTGGAGATTATAGCTATCAGGGACACAGGAAAAGGGGAGGGAGTTCCACAGGCAAGAGATGCGAGACATGAGGCTATTGAGTAGAAGAGACGGCTACTTTTAACAGTTTTGACAGTGAAAGGGTGTGAGTGAGATGCCAGCCTCGTAGAATGCTTAAATTCATGAAGTTTGGGAACCAGCAAAAGCAGCTCCTCTGAGCAGTTACCACGAAAGTATTTGTAAAAAAGACAGAGGGAGGCGACGGCACATCTTTGAGAGAGCGACTGCTGACAAGATGCCAGATCAGGGCCAATTACATTGCATATCCATCTCTGGATCTTATCAAGAACTAGGAGACAAATGTAAGGGGCACCAGACCATATATGGCAGCAATACTCCATACAAGGGCGAATGATTGATTTGTAGATTTGAAGGATCAACTCCGGTGAGAAAAATTTCCTGAAGCGGCACAGGGAACCAACTTCAACTTTTTAACTTTGTTAAGATTTACTTTCTTTTATGTTTGTCCTTGAGAATTAATGTTCAGCATTGACCTTTAGTGATACTTTTTTTATCCTATAGCTGCAAACATAAATGTTTTGTGATTAAGCTACAATGTTAATCCCCATTCAAAAGCTTTAATGTCTAACCTTATTATGCATCAATGCAGTTAATTAGTTCAACAATAACTGTTTAAGTGACTTGTTTTAATCCAAGGAGAGACTTTTTTAATCAAGGAAGGCAATAAATCTACTAAGATACAAGAGGTTACTGAGTATGAGACAATAGGAGAAAATAAAACACTATTAAGGAACAAGAACAGTAAAAGAAAAGGAATTAAGAAGACAAAAGATAATGACTGACATTACATTTAAATTTTTGAAGATCAAAGTTTACTAGACGAAAAGCCAGAAGAGAGTTCCACAAGTGAGAAGTGCAAAAGAAGAAACTGTTAACATAGAACTTACATTTACATCTAGTCATTTCTAGTGTAAAATGATGAGACCTAGCTGCCAATCTAGTAATGTGCTTAAAAATTCATAAAGTCTAGGTACCATAGAAGTGAGTTCATCAGAACAATTATCATGAAAGTATTCATAGGAAAAGTCTCATGGAAACTATGTTGGAAACAGTGGGAAACTGACTTAAGCCGAGATGCCAGCTCCTTTGCAGGAGTTGACCCATGATTTTAAACAATGTGCATTTCAAAAGTAAAAGCTCAAGGCAGTATTGGTGATCAATATCTTTGTTTGGAATCAGGGAGCTTTCTGTAATTGTAGGTATTTTTCATTTACATTTGAGTTGTAGTTTTTTAGGACTGGAATTGTCAAAGGAGTAAAATAAAGCACCAAGAAATTTACCACAGAACCATAAAGAAATTATAAGAAATAATAATGAAGGCATGGTGCTTTCTAGATTCCATAAGTATTTATAGTGTTTATTTTTTTATTGAATGAAAATGAAATTTTTGTAATGTCATATAAGGTTTTGTGTAACAGTATTTACTAATAGTAAGGTTAGAAAAGTTTTTAAGGGTTAATTTGAAGTGTAACAACCGCACTCAGTTTGCATTAAAAATTTCCAGAATTCTTACATTTAGGTGTAATTGTACATGCTCCATTTGAATTTGGCTTGATAAATTTGATAAAATCCACCATTTTGGAGTTATCGACAATGAAAGTTTAGATTCATTTGTGTTGTTGGCAGCAGCCATTACTGTCATTGTTTGCATACATTTGCTGCGGAAAGCTAAATGCAGAAGACTACAGAAAGCTAAGTGTAGAACTGATCATTCTTGTCTAAATTTGTCTCAATTACTGTGCACAAGAACTATTTACATAGATACGCTCAGTTTGCACAATGATACTTACACTGATAGCTATTCTGCAGCAAATGTATGAAAACAACGCCAGTAATGGCTGCTTGCAATGTGAATGGATCCAAACTTTCATTGTTGATAATTCCAAATTGGTAGATTTTATCAAATTTATCAAGCCAGATTTGAATGGAGCATGTACAATTACGCATAAAGGTAAGTATTCTGGAAATTTTTAATGCAAACTAAGCGCGGGTGTTACACTGAAAATTAACCTATTTAAGTATTTACAAATAGGTTAGAAAAGTTTTTAAGTATTTACAAATAGTAAGGTTAAAAATGCCTTAAATTGTTAAAACTATTTTAACCATATAGTTGTTCTTTCTTTTAAGTAGTAAAACAGTTTGTTTTTTTTTAAGCTGGACTAATATTTTGCACTTCATAGCAACATGTTTATAAGACAGGAAATTTTGTTGCTTGGTTACCAAGATTAACAGTGTTTCCCTATTTCTTAATATATTGATTATCGTTATTTACACTATTTACATTCAAACTAATTATGTATTTATAAATTATTTTAGATTTTTTTTTTCTTAGAGATTTCAACTGTCCATCACTTGGAGTTATGGGACAGGTAAAAAGGAATTTAACATGATTTCAATGACTTTTCAAGAGAAAAACACTTTATTCTGCATGTCAAACACAATACATCTCTTTTTATTATTTTTGTTCATTATTTTTTTTCTCCCCTTTTTTTGATGATGTGTGTTGTTGGAACTCTGGTAAATACTCAGCCAAAGTAATAGTCTGTGATATGCTGGAATTTGGCATTTCGCATTCTAATGCAAAAACATCTTTCTGAAAATTTTTTCAGAAGGATTTGAATCCTTTCCAAAGAAAGTTTGCCGACACCCTGGAGAATGAGATGAATCGTTACTGTCAAGGCTGGGAAGAACCTAAGGCAAGGAAGATAAGTACAGATGCTGATCAGGGTTCATCATCCATTATAATAATAAGTAAAATTCTCTAGGGGGCAGATGGGTCCTTATATAAAAATAATCACATTGAGTTTGTAGGTGAGAAAAGCCACATCAACTTAGTAAATCATGATTAAACTGTAAATTTTATACTTCAGGAATTTTCTCTCTCTCTCCCTCTCCCTCTCTTAATTGTCTTTACATCACAGCTACAAGTTTGATTCAAAATTACCTCTAATTACTGGTGCCCTCGTTATAAAAATTATTAAAATTCTAAAATTTATATACAATGTGCTGTGTGAAAATTCAGGGAGTATAGCTTTAAAGATAATAATTTCCTTACTCTATCAGTTTGGCTTCTACCATTGTCTTCAAAATAGTTCCTTTCAGAATGGTATACACAATGTATCACAAAGGCTACCAACAAAAATTAATTTAATCTGAACTGTTAAAATAACAGGATTTTTTGAATAGTTAGCTTATAAGTATAATCCTTGCCTCTATTATTAGTCATAAGGTCATTGCAATACTTCTCATTGCTGCATAGTCCATTTTTATGTTGAAAAAGTAATATTATTTAAAGATTTTTGTGCTAAGCTAGTCACTGCAGCAGTTTGCTGAACTGCAAAAATAACTAGTTTTATGCTTGAAAATTATTTTGATCCAATTTTTCAACGTGGCTGAAGCAGAAACCATCATTTGATTGCTTCTCTTCATTGGATTCTCAAGAACTTTTATTTATGACAGTGCCAGAATATATAAATTTTGCCAGCTCCCATTAATAGTTCACAAGTAAAGCAACTAGCCATATTCACTGGGCTCTGGAATTGGTATATCAAACATTTATCTGACTATGGATTTTTCATTTATAGCAAATAATTTAATATTAACAAAAAAAAAGAAGCCTACCTCATACACTTGTCCTGGCATCTTTTCCAATTTTCAAAACAGTCTACAAAGTTCTCTTTCAAGGTTGCCATCAGTTGCCTTGTTGCGTTATTCTTAATCTTGACTATAGTTTGAAATCTCTTCCTTTTGATTGGTAAAAGCCAACTCTGGACAAGGACAAAATTATTTAAAAATCTAAAATTCTGCTTATGCAAGAGGTGATGCTTTACTTCCTTTTCAAAAATTTATACCAAAAGTCGAATAGTATTTTGATGTGATTCAAGATTTTTTTACCCATTGACTCTTAACACTTTCACTGTCGACATTTCTTTGATGTGTGTCAGTCAAGAATAGAACACTGATGATTACTCAGAGACTAAACAGCATTACTAGAAAGCAGGTATTAGTCACAATAGTATGTGAAGGAAAAAATGAAAACAAAATGCAAATCTCAAAAAGGGGACATTATGTAATTAACATTTTTTGTTGAACATGTTAAATAAAATGCCTTAATAGCTTGTTAATAAGAGTTTAAGATTTTTTTAAAGAAATAAATCTGTTATTTGTGGCTATAGATGCAAAATACTGATTGATAAAAATAGTTAAATTGTATGTAAATTTTCTTTGAGTTATTTACATTCTAATATGATGATTAGTTTAACATTAATACAAAATATTAAAATATCATTTCAAAAAGTTTACTTCTACTTCTGTTCTATGATAGTTATCAGGTTTAGTGTATGAAATTTACATGCAAATTTAACAACTATTATAGGACAGAACTAGTATTATAAATGTACTTTTAAAAGGGTAATTTTTTTTTTTTATACATCAGTTTACCTAACTCTTTACCTGAATTACCTTATAGAAAAAGAAAATGTATACAGAAGACAAAATTATACAAGTTTGCTCAGCAAAGTTAAAAGTAGCAATAATTCCTTTTTTTTTTTTTTTTCTAATTTAAAAAAATAAAAATAATTGGTTTGAAGACAAACATTCTTTCAGTTTATTCTGTTTTTAATTATGGGTTAAGCTTTGATATTTATTATTAACTGATGAACCCTGATCTTTCTGCCGTGTTTGTGTCTGCCTTTTCTTTCCCAAAACTCCTTCTTGCCACCATCACTACTGTTGCTACAACGCCACTGCTACCTTGTCTTTTTATTTATTCATTTGTTTCTTTTTATTTAGTTGTTTGTTCATTTTTTTTTTTTTTTTTTTTTTTTCTCCGGTCATTTGTTCAAAGAAGTGTTCCTGTTATTACCCCAATTGACCAAGCACTGTGACACAAAAAAAACCTATATCCATTGTTTCCACTGTCCAATTTCTATAACTGCTACTATTCCAAGCATTGTCTAGACAATTAAACTCCTCCTTTATATTGTTGATGCTGTTGCCACGTTTTTGAAGATTAATTCCAAAGCCTTCTTCATTTTTTTAAAAAAAGACAGAGATGGTGATAGAAATGGTTGCTTATATTGCAACCATCTTGAAGAAGGTTGCAGAACAGATCAGCTGAAACAACATCAACAGCACAAAGGAGGAGTTCAGTTGCCTGAACAAAGCTTGGAATGTTCATCTATTCTTGAAGTTATAGACAATATGCTGCTAATTATGCTTTTTTTATTTCCATTTCAGATCAAGTTTAACATCTGTCACTTAAGCAAATAAAATGATAGACAACTGGAGTGGGGATAGAATCCATAACAATTTTAGTTATTTAGACAGGACTTATACCTGTAGTACTAAGTTTGTAGACAATGCTGATACATTTAAACTGAAATTAGTAAACTGTTATATTCCATGCTAATAAGGTTGTCACAAGTCAATCCAGTAGTGAGTGCTACTATTGGAAGGTCGGTAGTTCTCGCATAAGTCATACTCAACAGATCCCAGCTAGTCTCAGTAGTCTGTTGACTTACAGATACTTATAGATAGTTACTTACTACCTATAGTATAGTCACTCATGGGGGGGGGTGACAGGTTATTCCATTACATCATAAACTAACTCCAAGATTTTGTTTTCATCTCTTCTAATAGTTATTTTAAAAAAAAAAAAAAAAAAACTATAGTTTTGTCACAGTCAGAGATAAAATATTAGGTATATTCATGAGCCATGTTCAAATTCCAATCTAGGCTGTTGCATTCACTTCACACTTCCATTTCTTCTCTTCTCAGCTGTGGGTTAAATATTAGGATATGCTGAGTTCTTTAGCTTTGGGTGACAGCCATTTGCTTCTTGCACCTATTCACATAATATAACATAAGTTGATGGTGGGTGAACTGAAATAATCTGATGTTGTCCATAGGGATAGGTCAGGTGATCATGCCAGTCAAGGTAGTTATCAAACATCTTGTAAAACATACTGAGTAGCCATCATGTAGGCAGGTATGTCCTGCTAAAACAGCTCATAACCTACCTTTTGCAAGAATGTATCAGAACTGATTGAACAATATTTGAAGATATAGAAAGTGTGGACATAGAAACCAATGCTATATGATGACTTTCAGTTTCACATCTCAAACAATCTTCAGACATATACTCTAAAGATTACTAGAGGCATGAAACTAGCAGTCATCATGCAGTGTTGATTTCTATGTCTACAGTGTCTATATTGTGAAATTGGAGGTATGAACCAAATGCATTGATATTTGAATTGCAATATTTACTGCAAATTGTTGTGCATTTTTTCCTTAGGATTAGGAGGGAAATCTCTATCAGTTATTGTTTTCCTTAGCAAATATGACCATGTCTTTCCAAGAGCCTACTGAACTAATTTTTTGTGTTGCTTTTGTTGTTATGGTATGCAGCTCTGATAGAGAGTAAAGGATCCCGTGATCCTATGATGAAGTCCAAATAATTTTTTTTTAACCATTTCATCTCAACCAAGGCAATAAAGCCACTAAAATACAAAAGGATTAGAGAATATGAGAAAAAGAAAACATTATTAATGAGAGAGAACAATAAAAGAACAGGAATTAAGAGGACAGTAGATGACAATTGACATTGTATTTAAACTTTTCAAAGTTGACTGGAAAGCAAGAGGCTGGAAGAGAGTTCTGTAAGGGAGAAATGCAAGAGAAGAAATTGTTAACATAGAACTTATGGTTACATGTAGCCATTTCAATTGTAAAATGATGTAACCTAGCTGCCAATCTAGTATTTTGCTTAAATTCATAAAGTCTAAGTACCAAAAAGGAAAACTCAGAACAATTATCATGAAAATATTTATAGAAAAGGCATGAGGAATCTTGTGGGAAAGGGAAATGCCAGGTCAGTATGAAGAACAGTGCAGATTCTTTGTATTTTTCAAGAATCTGTAAATGTATAACAGAACCACCAGACCAGATTTGGCAGCAATCTCCAATGCATGAATGAATGGTAGACATGTAAATGTGTAAGATAGATTCTGGTGAGAAAAATTTTCTAATAAGGAGCATAACTTAAAAGTAGCAAAGATTGAAAGATGTGGCATAGACTATCCTGTTGAATAGATGCATAATTCAAAGCTGGGGCTTCACTGTCATCGTCTTTTTTTTTTGCTCAGCAACGTGAAAATTGAGGAACATCTCTATGTATAAATATGGATGCATTTCTATTACAAGGATTGCTGGGAATGATGTTATCTGTTTGGATCTCATATCCACGAATGAACGGAAACAAGACACTTGGCATATAAACCATCAGTTCTCTTTTGTTGAACAAATCTTTTCTGTAAAAAAAAGAAAAAGAAAAAAGACCCCGCTCTTTCCTTATAGATAAAAGACCTGAAGAAGACAAAAGAATATTTTGGTGACAAAAAACATCAGAAAAAGACAGTTAAAATTTCTAAGATATATAATGAGGAAAGAAGGCTCAGAAAATTTGATACTGACAGGACATATTTAAGGCAAGAGGAAAGCAGTGAATAACCTACCTGGCAAGCTTGTGTAAATGGTTGGCAGAACAGGTATTAGGAGAGATAGCAAAAAGACAAAATTTACTAAACACTATAAAGGACAGGAAAATGTGAAAAGCCATGGTCACTCACATTTTGAAGGGACACAGCACATTGAAAAAGAAGTCTGACCAAGTATTGGAATGGTAATGACTCCT